AAAAAAAAAAAAAAGAAATACTGTCTTGGGTGAGAGTTTTAAAACATATTGAGTTAGAATTAGATATATACAACAATAATATCAAGTAATGAGGGAGACACATGAAAGTCACCTGAGGTCCTTAGGTTGTCCAGGAGGAGGATAAAAATATTTGTTAGTTAACTCTAGACTTCAGTAACAATAGAGAGTGTTTAACTGTCTAACTAGGAGAAGCGGGGACATGAAATGATTTGTTTTAAGTTGCTCAATCCCAAAGAAGGGGAAAAGGAGAGAAAAGGGACGAAAAAAACACAAACACAAGTGAGACAATATGTAGCATAAAATAAGATGGTAGATTTAATTACATTAAATACACAATGGACAAAATGCTCCAGTTAAAAGACAAGGTGTGTTTTATATGCTATTAACAAAACAATGAAATTAAAAATACACAATTTACCATAGACTAAAGGAAACATAAAATATTCACAAATCAAACTTAAGATGAGCAAGACCACAATGGACAAAATTATAAAATCCTATTGGCAAACCTTAAGGAAGACCCACATGGATAGAGAGGTAGACCATGTTCATGAATCAGAAAACTCAATATTGTAAAGATGTCAATTTTCCCAAAACTGACTGATAGCTATAATAAATTCCCAAACTATCAAGTGCATCATTGTTGGAATTGACAAGCTGATTTTAAAATTTATATGAGAGAAAAACCTTACATGAAAATACAAAGAGCCAGAATACTCAAGACACTCTCAAAGAAGAAGAATAAGGTGGAAAGGACTTACTTTATCAGATGTCAATACATAATTGATAATAATGAAGACAGCTTGATATTGGCACAAGAACAGACAGACTAATGGAACAGAGGAAAGAATCCAGCAACAGATCTACATATATGTGGACATATGACAGAGGTGGCATTGCAGATGGGCGCAGAAAGTCAGATTATAAATAATGATAGGATAGGTGTGTAACCCTATGGAGAGAAAAAAATGAAAGTGAATCCTTACCTCACACCATATGCAAGAAAACAAATCCAGATGAATTAAAGGCCTAAATATAAAATTAAAATTTATAAGGATTTCAGAATATAATCTAAGAGACTATCTTCATGACCTTGGAGTGGAAAGAATTTCAGTGGTTTTTTGTGTTTGTTTTTGAGATAGGGTCTCACTCTGTCTTACAGGCTGGAGTGCAGTGGCACAATCACAGCTCACTGCAGCCTTGACCTCCTGGGCTCGAGCAATCCTCTCACCCCAGCCGCCTGAGTAGCTTGGACTACAGGCACACACCACCATGCCCAGCTAATTTTTGTATTTTTTGTAGAGATAGTGTTTTGCCATGTTGCCCAGGTTGGTCTCAAACTCCTGAGCTCAAGTGATCCTCCTGCCTCTGCCTCCAAAGTGCCGGGATTACAGGTGTGAGCCACTGTACCCAGCCTGGAAAGGATTTCTTAAGTCACAAAAAGCACTAACCAAAATGAAAACACTGATCAGTTCAACTGCATTAAAAATAAGAACTGGCAGGCACAGCATCTCATGCCTGTACTTCCAGCACTTTGGGAGGTCAAGATGGGAGGCTCATTGAGCCTAGGAATTTGAGACCAACTGGGGCATAGTAAGATGCTATCTCTAAAAAAAAAAAATTAGCTGGGCATAGTGGTGTGTGATTGTAGTTCCAGCTCTTCAGGAGGCTGAGGTGGGAGGACTGTTTAAGCCCAGGAATTGAGGCTGCAATAAGCCATGATTGTGCCATAACACTCCAGCCTGGGTGATAGAGTAAGACCTTGTCTCAAAAAACCCCAAAAAACAAAAAAGGACATCATAAAGAGTCAAGCCAGAGTTAGAGAAGATATTTGCAATACACACTGTGGATAATATCAAGACTATATAAAGAATTATTAGAAAATAATTAATAAGAAAAAATCTGGTAGCTCACGCCTATAATCCCAACTTTGGGAGGCTGAGGCCAGCAGATCGCTTGAGCTCAGGAGCTTGAGAGCAGCCTGGGTAACATGATGAAACCCGTCTCTACTTAAAAATACAAAAAATTAGCTGAGGTTGGTGGTGTGGGCCTGTGGTCCCAGCTACTTGAGAGGCTGAGGTGAGAGAATCACCTGAGCCTGACTCAAGGCTGCAGTGAGCTGAGATTGCACCACTGCACTCCAGCCAGGGTGACAGAGACCCTGTCTCAAAAAAATAAATAAATAAAAATAAAAAAGAAGAAGAAAAGAAAAGGACAAACAACACATTAAAAAATGGGCAAAAGATGACAGACACTTCACAGGAGACAAAATCAAAATGGTTAATAAAAACATAAAAATATGCTCAATCTCCTTAGTAATTAGCTAAATGCAAATTAAGGCCATAACTACACCCCACCATATTGGCAAAAGTGAAATGTCTGACGAGGATGGGAAGGCAAGGGAATTCTGTTTTACTGCTGGTGGGCACGTAAACTAGAACAATATTTAGAAAGATCCTCATACCCTAGAACCCAGAAGTCATACTCCAGAAGTACAAACCCTAGAAAAATTTGTGCCCCATTTGCAAAAAACACATGTGCATCAGAGACATGGACAAAATTGTTGCTAGCAGCATTGTGTGTAATTACCCCAAACTAGAAACAAACCAACTGTCCAGCTACTGCAGACATGCCCAATCTTTTGGCTTCCATGGACCTCACTGGAAGAACTGTCTTGGGCCACGCATAAAATACACTAACACTAACTATAGCTGATGAGCTAAAAAAAAGAAAAAGAAAAGAAAAGAAAAGCAACAAAAATTTTACAATGTTTTAAGAATGTTTACAAATTTGTGTTGGGCCACATTCAAAGGCATCCTGGGCTGCATGCACTGAACAAGTTTGACTGACAGTAAAATGAATCTGTGAACTATGATATAGCCAATGGAAGTTTTTAGCAATGAACATGCACAAACTATACTACACACAGCAACATAAATAAATCTCACAGACATAATAATGAGCCAAAGAAGTCAGCTGCCAGAACTTGCATCTGTATGATTCAAGGGGATAAAGCACAGAAACAGGAAAATACTGCAATGGCTGCATAATTGGGTGTTGAAGACTTTTTAGAAAAACAAGAACATAAGACTTACATAAGCCAGGGCGGAGAGGCCGGAAGTGACACTGTGAGGGGAGGGCATTTGGGTGCTGGCAAAACTATTTCCTGACGGAGGTTGCACAGATGCTCACTTCCTAACCGTGTGTGAGGTTGTGCATTTATGTTTTATTCACTTTTCTGTATGTTGTTTTATTCTGCAGGAAATGAATGAAAACGGGATTCTGCCTCAGCTCTGAGCCCCTCAGAGCGCGGCCACGGATGAAGCTGACGGTAACGCAAGGGCAGCTGTCCAGCAGCCTGGAATGCCTGCGAAGTTTCCTAGGGGTTCAAAGGAGGGTAGATGGGTAGGATTCTGCTCTGTGCCCATCCAATCTCCCTCCAGTGAGAATGGCTGGAAGATGGCTTAAAAGGGATCACCACTTACACTTCTGAGGTGGTGGGGGTTGTCTGTCAAGCATCTTCGTGGGGTCACTGCCCCATCTTCCTCAAGGACAGGCGTCCTCCTGGCACCGCCCCCTCGGGAGGCAGTCTATTTAGGTGGAGGGAACAGGGCGTGCAGGCAGAGATAGGGCAGGGTGTGTGTGCGAGGTGCCCAGCGAGGGGCTTGATACTGCTGGGTCACAGTCAAAGACAAAGGCTGTGGTCCTTCCCTATTCCCCTCCTCTAGAGATGAGCACGGCCCTCCCATGTTCCTGGTGTGACCCTGGTGTCCTAGGCCACCCGTCCAGGGCCTGGATCACCTCAAAAGCCTCTTTCCTGCTAAGCTTCAATCTGCCTTTCTATGAAATGGCCCCAGTAAGCCCTGCCTGCCTCAGGGCACTGAGCCGCAGGCCCCAGGCCCCCCTCTCTCCCGACGCCCACCCTCGCCCATCCTGAGCTGCAGGAAGCCCCTCCCTGGGGCTGCACTGAGCCCCAACCAGCAGGGGAGCTCTGCACAATGTGGCCCAGAAGCAGCAGTGGGAACCGAGGCTTCTGGTTCTAAAAACATCTTTCAAGGCTGGGCGCAGTGGCTCGCGCCTGTAATCCCAGCACTTGGGAGGCAGAGGTGGGCAGATCAGTTGAGGTCAGGAGATCAAGACCAGCCTGGCCAACATGGTGAAACCCCAGTTCCACTAAAAATACAAAAATTTGGCAGGCACCTGTAATCCCAGCTACATGGGAGGGTGAGGCGGGAGAACTGATTGAACCCAGGAGACAGAGCTTGCAGTGAGCTGAGATCGCACCAATGTACTCTAACCTGGGCGACAGTGAGACTGTCTCAAAAAAAAAAGAAAAAAAACATCTTTTCACAATAAAAATCTTTATTAACGGAAGGCACGGGGCTCACCACAGTCCTTCGGATGGAACCACAGTAAGAGAAGCATGTTTCGTCCTGGGCTTGGGGTGCTTCCCAAAGCCACTGGGTCATTTTCCCAAGCCCCAAAACTGAGCCCACCTGAAGTCATCTTGAAAGTAGGCAAGTCAGTGAGTCCTCTTGAAGCCTAGGTTTCCCTACCTAAAAAATGAGGAAGCAGGACTGTCCCTGGGGCAGGGCCTAGGCCTCCTGCCAGCCCACCCTCACAGGCCCAGAGGGCAAAGCAGGGTGAGGCGGGGCAGTTTCACTCCCCAGTGCTGTGGCCCCCTTGGCTGAGTGAAAGCACCCCCAGAGCCCTAACCCTAGCCCTGGGAGCCAGGCAGAGACCCCCACAATGACCATCAGAGGCCATGAGGGGTGGCAGGGAGCCAGGCAGGGGCCAGGGTCTAGGCTCAGAGCAGCGAAGGATGGGTAGGGTCACATGCCAGTTAGTGGGACCACATGCCAGTCACAGCAGAGGTGGGATTTGAACTCACGCCTCTGTGAGACTTGGTTCTCTCACCTATAAAATGGGTCTAATAGCAGCTGCTTCTCCAAGCAAATGACTGTCAAGTACCCAGCTCGGCACCTCACAGATGTGCTCAGGAAATGGTAACTCCAACCCTACCCTTATATGTGGACTAGAACATTTACGACAAGTCTCGGGAGGTCGTGGGAGCCCCTCATGGCTCCTTCTTTGTGCTGAAGGACGATGGCCTGCCCCCTACCCCACCCCAACACTCTTACAACTGAGGCCCTAGGCCTAGAGCAGCTCACACAGAGGTGGGCAGCTATGCCAGCAGGTGCAGAGTCTGGGAGGCGAGACTGGGCCAGGGCCCCAGCTGGGCTTCGGGTAGCCACAGACCTCAGCTGTCCAGTTGGCCAGAGGGACCTATCACCTGGCTCTGGGCCCCAGGATGTTTTAGCCACTTGAGCCGGCTCCAGGTGGCCGTGTAAGATAAAGCAAAGGTGTCCTGGAGTGCACCACTAGCTCAGCACTCCAGGCACCAGGCTGGAAACCATAACTCTCACCCAATCCTCCATTTAAAAATTTTACAGGAAGTAGCCGGGCACAGTGGCTCACGCCTGTAATCACAGCACTTTGGGAGGCCGAGGTGGGCGGATCACCTGAGGTCAGTTCGAAACCAGCCTGGCCAACATGATGAAACCCCATCTCTACTAAAAATACAAAAAATTAGCCAGGCATGGTGGCGGGCATCTGGAATCCCGGCTACTCGGGAGGCTGAGGCGGGAAAATTGCTTGAACCAGGGAGGCAGAGGTGGCAGTGAGCCGAGATCATACCACTGCACTCCAGCCTGGGTGACAGGATGAGACTACATCTCAGAAACAAACAAAAAAAATGATAAAATAAAATTTTACAGGAAGAGAAACCATGGCCACAGTGGGGAGTGGCATGACTCCCTAAGCGAGTTCAGGTCAGATAGGGCAAAGAATTCTGACCACAGGGAGGAGGAATGGCTGGTTTTCCAGAGACAGAAACTCCCTGTGCCCCAGCCTTGGCTGTGGTGCACCGACCTCTCACCCCAGGCAGGCTGAAGAGGAAGCCCCTGCGGAGGTGGCCTTGGACACCTGGTTCCCCGAAGCAGCTGGCTGCCGTCATCAGCAGGGCCTGCAGTTCCACCGCACCCTATGGCCCCCTAGGGCCACAGCCTCCCACATCCGCTAACCAGCCTCATCACTTGTTTCCGCCAGCAAACCACAGGTCCCAGCACACACCCCAAGGAAGGGGGCCGCAGGACCTTCTCCCCTAGTCAGTCCCTGTCAGTGGCACAAGTGCGGACCTCAGTGTAGGTTTCCCTGACATAAAGTGCTAAGAAAAATCACAAGGATCCTAGGATCCCTGCCAGCCCCGACCTCCCCCGAGTCTGTTTCATTAAAAATCCAACCTGGAAGGGCCGGGCGCGGTGGCTCAGGCCTATAATCCCAGCACTTTGGGAGGCCAAGGTGGGCAGATCACGAGGTCAGGAGATCGAGACCATCCTGACAAACACGGTGAAACCCCGTCTCTACTAAAAATACAAAAAATTAGCCAGGCATGGTGGCAGGCGCCTGTGGTCCCAGCTACTCTGGAGGCTGAGGCAGGAGAATGGCGTGAACCCGGGAGGCGGAGCTTGCAGTGAACCGAGATCACACCACCGCACTCCAGCCTGGGAGACAGAGCAAGACTCCGTCTCCAAAAAAAAAAAAAAAAAAATCCAGCCTGGAAGGTGTGCCAGGGAGAGTGACCCACTGGAACTCCATGGCAGAAAGTAAGGGGACCAATTGGGGCTGGACCTGAGTCAAGTATTGCCTGGAGGACTTGGGCATCTGGGTACCACCATCCCTACCCACCCTTGGCCTGCTTAGGGTCCACTGTTCACGTCCCATCATAGCTGTCACTTCCTCCAAAAAGTATTCCTGAAACCCCTAGTCCCTGCACACCCAGCTGCCCTGGACACTGTGCCATAAGCACCTCATACCCAGCTGTCCCCAGACTGGGCTGTGAACTCAGCCAGGCCAGAGGCCCCTGTCTGGAACGGGACCAGGCATGCAGGAGATACCCAGTAACTGCTCATGCACTAATGCAGGGAATGAACCAGCTGTAGCTGCAGGGCCTTCTAGCTCTGCAGCAGCACTGCCCTGGCCTGACCCAAGGCAGCAGAACTAGTGCGTGGGGTGTGGGCTCCCAGCCCAGACTGCCCAAGTTTGGGTCCTGATCTGTTACTAGCTGTGAACCCTGGAGAAGTCACTCAGTGACCTGCACCCTGGAAGACAGGACAACCAACTCTTGGGGTTCCTGGGTACTGCTGCAGTCACCACTTGGACATCAGTGTGGGCACCCAGGAAGCTGGTGATCCCCTCCTTCCCAATCAAGCCCCAGCCACCAAGGCAAAGCTCACTGCTGCTTTATTGGAGGCAACAGCCCCTACTGGAGCCTGTGTCTTAGCGTTTCTCGGGGTCCCAGGGCCAGCCCTGGCCCCACCCAGCTGCCCTGGCCCTGCCGGGCTCCCAGCCCACTGCGGGGTGCGTGTGATGGGGGGACCACTATTCTTGTCCTCGGAGCCCAGGCACGACTTGGTCCTGGGTTTCTGGGGTTGGGACAGGGCAAGTTAGTGTGGGGCAACAGAGTCCCCTCATCCTCTGGAGCCTGGAGCCTGGTCCAGCCTTGGAACCCAGCCTGCTGGATGAGACTGGCAGGGTCCTACGAGATGTCCATCACAGAGGCCCTAGGCAAGCAGGGCCTTGCTCCTGCTCACCCTCCCACGTGGGCCTGTGTCCATCTGTGTGGCCTGGGGTCAGGGCCCCTGTGACTGCCTTGGCCTGGCAGCCACACGGGCAGGCATCACCTAGGCCCGGTGTAGCCGTAGGGGTGCCGCAGCAGCAGGCTCTGGTGGCTGGGCAGCACGTGGGTGTGGTAGTGCTCCACCATGCTGCCCACACTCACAAACAGGACCTCGCCCTCCAGGTAGAACTTAGAGTCCTGTGGGGAAAGAAAGGGGGAGCATCAGCAGGGCCAGGCCACTCGGCGGCTCTAGGCCTCAGTCTCCCCGTCTGTAACACAAGGCAGCAGCAGCAACAGCAGCATCGCCAGGCCCCTGGCTGTCGGTGGTGCCCCCAGGGTGGCCTCCGCATCGGGCCTGTGCTCTCCACGTTCCCACCTCACTTCCCCTCCGTCCCCCGTGTCCAGGAGCCTGCACCCAGAGCACTGCAGACAAGGTCAGGAAATGAACCTAGGGACCGGGACAGGCACAGTGGCCCATGCCTGTAATCCCAGCATGGTGGGAGGCCACGGTGGGAGGATTGCTTGAGCCCCAGAATGTGAGACCAGCCTGAGAAAGACAGTGAGACCCCTGTCCCCGCGAAAAGAAAAAGACAAGACAAGCAACCCAGGGTCTACGGCTGACCATCCATCCCCACTAGGGTGAGTGGAGGACAAAGCTAGGCCAGGAGAGGAGGGAGGCTGAGCAGGAGCGGGGGAGGTTGGCATCCCAGAGGTGCCATTCTCAGTCTACCTGCTGCCTACACCCAATCAGGGAGATTCTGCTCTGCCTCTTGCCAAGCCATGCAGCCAGGGTCCCTGTCCCACTCGGAGCCCTCTCACCCCCTTACCTCCTCACCCCCTCACCCTCTCACCCTCTCACCTCATCCTGCCACTCTCTCACCCTCACCCCCTCACCCTCTC